CCCCCCCGCAATGATGTCAGCATCAGAGAAACCACTGCCCTGGGAAAAGTTTGGATAATGACACACTGGATACATTTTCTTTCTGTTAATGAGGCTAGATTGAAACTGCTGTTGTCAGGGGTAGTGCTGCTTGACCTTCAGTGATGCATTTGATGTCTTGGAGAGTTCAGATTTAGTCACTAAATTACTGAGGTCATGCTTATAGTAGAGGTCTCAATTTTATTTATTTTTTAAATAAATAAACGTCTTTTACACTTATTGAGCCTAAGGCAATATTTATCTATTTGCAGCATTACATTCCTGGAAAACATTCTAGTGCAAACTAACATTTTCTTCAGCTCAATGAAGAAAAAAAGGTTGTAAATTGACTTTTATTATGAAAGAGTCACACAGGAAGTGCAGTGCATTTATCAGTGAACTTGTATCTTAATGCCATTATTCACTGTGATGTTTTTTTTAAATTTTATTTTATTTTGGATAACAGATGGGTTTGAAATATTGCAGGGAGTAATGAAACAAGCAGGAGCAGCCACTGTGAACCATTAGACAAAGAGCTGCAGGCAAAAGGCTGTAACTCCCCAGCAAAGTAACCAACTCACTCTGCCATGCTGTTTGCAAGTTCATGCTGTGTGGAGCACACATGCAGGTCAAATATGACCTACAGTTTTAAAGCACATTTGCTGTTAGCTATAGGTCTTGCTAAATTAGACCTGAAATCCAGTTTAAGGTTCAGCCCTGGGATCAAGTCTTCGTCATCGTCTTTCCGTTTGCATAATTATGCAGACTTGCTTAATTTTGGTACTTTGCAGTCAAGCTAGGTGAACTGGATAATTCACACGGCTGTTTGGCTGGCATTGAACATATAATTATATCTGGCACTTAACTTCACACAAAGCTGCAGTTGTTCCGAAACTGGTTTCTATTCATGCTTTTATTATTTTCTTTTTCCTCCTTCCTCCTCTTTCATTTTCTTCCCCTCTTTTAATTGAAGGCTTCATTTGATTTTTGATAGATGTTCCTGATGTGCTTCACTGTCAAGTTTCAATTTTTCTGCCATTTCTGTCAATATTTCTATTCAGAGCATCCATACATGTAGCATAACACTTCATGTTATCCTTCAGTTTCTTTGTTAAAGGTTATCCCAGGGCTTGTATTGAATTTAGGGCTGCCACAAACGATTATTTTGATAGTCGACGTAATCGTGACTAGTCGACAAATCGTGGCAGCCCTAATTGAATTACAGAAATGCTTTGCTGTTGAACTGAGATGTCCTTTTTTAGCTGTGCGCCTTTAGATTGTCTCCTTTATCCCCTTCTCATAATGAGTCAGCATTTTATTTTGAAAGTGCTATATTAATAGCGAGGTGACCTTTACAGCGTGTCTATATAAAGTGTCCTTTATAAAAAATACAGCAAGTTTAAAATGATTGTCTGCAACCTTTCAAAATGCACAGTTCCACAATTAAAAAAAAACACAAAACAAAAACCTGCTTGATAGTCGGTGTGCTGACAAAACCACAGGGTGTTTATGATTCATCGATGATTAATAAAATCAAGGGCCCGCAGGCTGAAAGTGGATCGTCTCTCCATTGTCGTGCACCACCTGGCACTTTTATTGGTATTATGTGTATTATGGGACTTTTGTGAACATCCTCTTCTTTGATTTGTCCTTATTCCACATGCAGCCAGGAATTATAGCAGGAGACGAGGTAAAATGCAATCACAAATACATCATGTCTCGTTTTCAGCATATTTTCCCGCCCTATAAGCCTCAGTGTTTAACTAATCTTGTAATGTTAAGCAGTGTTATGATTTTATTGACTGTGGTCTGCTTGTTTGTTGTTACATTAACGGGCACGTGCATTTAGTTTTGGAATGGCCCTGTGCTTTTTTTAAACTTGTTTTCTTTTTTTTATACGTGCAGTGATGTGACGAGTTTGTCTGCATGATTGTCTTTAGTGTCGAGTCTTGTTACTCGTCGTCAAGTGATCTTGTGCATCTTTTATCCTCAAGTTTTTGTTTCTCTCATTATGCTTCACTCTGCTTGCTTTTCTCCATCTTTGCTTGCATATTGCAAGATTAACTCAGACAATACAAGACGGTGTCACACTTAGCTACAAGTTAATGAGGCAGGGAGACGCGCAAAGTGTAATTCCTGATTTACACTCATTGCAAGAGGAGCCCGACACATGGCCAGGCACACACACTGTCAGTTAAGGCTAACGTCCTTGCATAAATCTTCATAAATCTTCATAAAGCAGCTCAGGGCAGGTTGTATAGGAGCAGGGATAGAGCAGGGAGAGCTTAACCTTTACCACACACAGTGCACTCTGAAAGTGTTTATACTTGCTCACTGATAGGACTAATGTGTGCGCGATAACCTTTATGTTCACAGGCAGCACAGTTCCATGTGTGATTCATGGAAGCTAATTAAGAATAAAGAACAACACATCAAGGACATTTAATTCGGTCAGACTGTGATGTGGTCCTTTCAGGCTCTAATATCTCCATTCTGCGTGCACATGTTTAACTGATTCTCTTCCAATTTGAATCAAATAGTTATATTTTAGTAAGTAAGATTAAAAAGGTTAATGGTTTGTTTATTGTTGTTAGATCAAGAAAATTAAAGTAGTAGGAATTGAGGTCAGATAGACAAAGGGATGAAATTAAAGTGCTCATTTACGGCCATCTTTATTGTAGTGCCATTACCATGATTTACTGTTTTCTCTAAAAAAACAAAACAAATGTCTAGTTTTCTCTTCAAAAGATAAATCTTTTCCACCTTCTTCTTCTTTCTCAGGCCACTCTTCTCTCTTCCCCATAGAGGATGGTTTCCCTGATGATGAACGTGGAGACCAGGGTCTCGCAGGCCTAGGTTCCCCACACTGCTTTCCGCACCAGAACGGAGAGCGCGTGGAACGCTACTCGCGCAAGGTCTTTGTTGGAGGACTGCCCCCAGATATAGATGAAGGTGCAGTAGTAACATAATTAATATCAAAAGGATTGAATTCCTGGGTTACTTTTAGCCTTTTATGTAATCAAACTTAGAACAAGGGAACTTGAGGGAAAATGTAAAAAGTTAAAAATAAATAAATAAAGCAATCATGCCTGAAACACACAGGGCTTCTTACAGTACACCCCCCTGTAATTTACTGTGAAATCTGAGCAGGGCCTCTGCTCTAAATCTCCCCTGGTGTTTTCTTTGAAAAAGCTATGGGCTGACGATGAGGATGCATTATTATTATTTTTTCATTTCAGATGAGATAACAGCCAGTTTCAGACGCTTTGGACACCTGTTTGTGGACTGGCCTCACAAAGCTGAGAGCAAATCCTATTTTCCTCCCAAAGGTATCTTAAATTCCTTAAATTCACAGCTTGTTCACACTATGCTGTTTTTTGTTTTTTTTTTTTTTTTTGTTTTTTTTGGCAACTGACTTCAGTATTCCTGGGTAAAGCAGTGAGTGATAATCTGCTACAATCGATATCTATACATCTGAGCAATCTGGTTTTGTCTTCAGGCTGTTATCTGAAGCATTTGTCATCTCTGCTCAGATTGTTTGTATGTTTGTAAAAGCTTATGCCTTCCTGCTGTGCGAGCAGAGTGTCGTGATCAGACATGCTTTCACAGTAATCAGCAAACTAAATTCCAGCACAATCCTCTGTCAGTACTCTGCGGCCCCAGCAGCGAGAATAACCCTCTTGTGTTCTGTGCAGGCTATGCCTTCCTGCTGTTCCAGGACGAGAGCTCAGTGCAGGCTTTGATCGATGCCTGCATCGAGGAGGATGGCAAGCTGTACCTCTGCGTGTCCAGCCCCACCATCAAAGACAAGCCGGTCAGTGGGAACACACACACACACACACCAATTTGCTTAAATCTATTGGTAGTCCCTTAGTAGACTAGAGCTAAAAAAAAAAAAAACCCACTTGTTGGTTTTGTGTGTGACAGGTCCAGATCCGCCCATGGAACCTGAATGACAGCGACTTTGTGATGGATGGATCTCAACCTCTTGACCCAAGGAAAACCATCTTTGTGGGAGGAGTTCCTCGCCCACTTCGTGCAGGTATCCTTCTTTTTTATGCTGGTATTTTTCCGCCAGCTGAATTAACAACAAATGAGTGTTTATAATACAAACATCTGAGGAGTATTCTGTGCATATGCTTTGTATCTCAAGTGTTTTTTTGTCAAAAGCCTTTTAAAGGTTCTTATTTCCCTTCCCTTTGATTCAGTAGTCTAAATATTTTTATAGCATAAATGACCAAATGAGAACAATAAGTAGTAGTCTTCTCTTACTTCCTTTTCTTTCCCAACTGTTGAAATATCAGCCGTAAGCAAAATGCTTCCTTCTGTGAGACACAATGTGATCAGCTTGTGCTTATAAAATTAGACCCGCTACAGGGTGAGGCTAAAGAGACACTGACCTACACTGGTTATTTCAGGAAGTAGTCTCTATGACTGTTAGAAATGAACTAATGTCAACCCCTGACAATGACACACTGTGCAGTGTTAAAAAAAAATATATATATATTTTTTTCCCTTGATAATAATGTCACGTGTACTGTGTGTTCAAGTTTATGCCACCTTTGTGTAACTGTGTCTTAAACCTCTGTGCTGCCGTTTTAGAAAGGAACAAAGACATTAGGCCCAGCAGTGCATTAAATATTTTATGACCGTGTGCAATAACTGGGTTTAGATTTGCATTTTAAGAAAATCCACATATTAAAAAGGACGTTCAGACTTTTTAATGTCATAATAAGTAAAGCTGAAATGTAAACTTGCAGGGATTTTGTTTCCACAAACTGCATGCTTGTTAAAAAAACAGAAAAACAGGACGGTCAGTAAATTCAGGGCACTGCTTTCATATTTACCCCGTGAAACTCTGCAGGACTTTAATCCGTCCACGTTAATGGTTTAAACTCTCAGATGAACAGTTCTCATAAAGTATGTGTTTGTGTTTTCTGGTTACACTGGCATGAGTTTATGTAAACCTCTGTATCCACACAGGTAATTGCTGGATTTCTGTGTCCTGCAATCTTTGTGTCGGTGTGCCGTCTCCATCTGTGCATCAAACTTGTTTTTGTGAATGTTTTGTTGATCTGCTTGTGTGCGTCTTCCTCACCCTCCCTCTTTGCAGTGGAGTTGGCCATGATAATGGACCGCCTGTACGGTGGAGTTTGCTACGCTGGCATCGACACAGACCCCGAGCTGAAGTACCCCAAGGGAGCGGGGCGGGTCGCCTTCTCTAATCAGCAGAGCTACATTGCTGCTATCAGTGCTCGCTTTGTACAGCTGCAGCATGGAGAAATCGATAAACGGGTGAGTGGAAAGAGGAAAAATAAAAAGCTCAGTGTTTTTCTGTCTTCCCTCTCGGCCCCCTCCTTTCTTCAGCTTGCTTCCTGCTCTTACTCGTGGTGTTTCTTTCAGTTGCGCAAAGGTGATGCAAAGTTTTAACAGTTTTTCCTGGAGTAATATAGTCATACTATACTGCATTTTATACAGAAATCATCTAGCATATGAACAGAAGAGTATAAATGACTGCTGTTAAATTTAGCTTCAGATTTTACATCCATTTTAACCTTTATCCAGGCAGAGTAGTTATAATAGGCGTGCTGTGTTTGTGATGTAACTGGAGCAGAGAGTGATTTGTGTAACAGAATAATGTAGGTTCACCAGAAATGATTGGATGTTTTTAGCTGAAATATATCTTAGTGTGGTTGAACTGGGCTTAAGATTTTCATGTCTTTGCAAGCTGTAAAACTACTCTAATGACGACTTTTCTGTTGAAGCAATAATTGAGATTTTTACTTGTAGAACTGCCTGAAATTCAGACTTTGTAACTGAGTCGACTGTTTTTTTGGTCAGCAGTTAAAACAGCTATTTTGACCAGTTTCAGTAGTAAGAGTACAAATTTGTTAACAAGTGCTTTTTTTTTTTTTTAACATTCATATGTGTCAGTGAACCAGCATGCATAATACCAAAAACCCTGAAAGTGAAGCATCTAAATGGAATTTGGCCTTCATTGAGTTTATTTATCAGTGCTATTCCTACTGTGACCTGAAACCTATTCTCTATAAAAAGGCTATGAACTCCAGAGCCTCACTCTTTCAGTATCAGGAACCCTACAGATGGTGCACAGTCTATTATTTATTACATTTTTTTTATTAGCCTTAATTCATAAGAATACTGTCAGTAACTTAGCCAGCGCTGTCAGCAGCAGAAGAATTACAGTAATCTCTACAGGCATGCTAATGAACTGTATATGACACAAATTCTACTGACAATAGGTGAGTTAAGATAACGTGAGACTCAGCAGATGCATGTAAAGTATAGGTAACATTATAAGATAAGACACTGGAGTAATGGTATGCTCTTTTAAGATTTGCATAATTGTGATGTTGTGCAAATTTTGTGTAATGACTGTCTTGGTAACGTTCACCTCCCAATACTACAGTCATTCATCAGTGAGCAGGAAAGATAAAGAAGCAAGAGGTGTTCCAAAAGGTCATAAACAGGAAGTTTAAAATGCAGAAAATTTTTAGTATTTTAATAACGGTGAAGTCAGCAGTGCGATATTAACAACTTTAAACATTCTTTTGAATACTGATCAGGAATAGGAGATTATTTGGCTTTTTATTCATTCTGCTTTTTATAAACAAAAACAAGTGAAACACATTTATGCAACAAAACAAATGTCAAGTGCTCAGATCATTTTCCAACATGTTTAAAAATTCACCAGACAACAGGACATCAACAATTTTCTTCTTTTTTTTTTTTTCCTTCATCTGACTTCACAATTTTCCTCATAACTGCTTACATCCTTTGCTCATACTGAGGCTGTTAGCTTGGATAGCTTTAGCATTTACCACTTTGGCTTTGTTAGCTTCTTTCATCTGATTAATTTTGTTGTTAAAAATGTTTGTGTGGTCATTCCCGTTCTCATGGGTCACTTTGGCTAAATTTGTGTATTTACTCACAGTGAAGAGCTTTCATGCTAACGACATGTTTGCATGTGACACTGAGTAAATCTGCAACTATTTGCATGTGCCACTGTGTGCATGTTGCACATGCATGGACTGGGCCTGCTCGTTGCTAGTCAGGGCCACAAACAGTAAAAATGGTCCAATGGTCAATCAGTGCATCTTTAGTTTAATTTGTGTATGTTGAAGCATAGACTGAATAAAGAAAGCACACTGTGTGGGGTGCTAAGTTAACAGCAAATCCTGGCCAGCTTGGTTAGGAGGAGGAAAGCTCATACAAACACCTGCTTCCTTATTCACAAGGGATCGCGATGCCCTTCCTGAGACAAGCCCACAGGGATTTGTGTGTCCTCCCAGTCTCGAACTCTGGATTTCTTTTTTTGTCTCTCAGGCCACCACAGTATGGAGCCTCTCACACACACACATCTGCTAATCACTGGTAAATAACGGATTGAGAAGATACTACAGTCTTCCTCACCAAAAGTGAAGCTTCGGCTATTCCACTCAGCACGTCATATTATTTGTCAGCTAAATCAAGATAATGTTTTTCCAATAAAAATGGTAGAAAAGGCAAACAGCCCAATCGTAGCAGATTGTTAATCAGCTATAATGAAAATAAGCTGTGCATTGTGGCCAAAATTGAGGTCTGTGGTGTCTGCAGTGAATGAAAGTTCAATTTTGAGCCCAGGCTGATTCTGTGACACTTGAGATTGCTTGTCATAAAAACAAATGTGGTTAAGAAATGCTGAACAAGTGCAAAAAAGAGACCTTTTTTTTCCTTTGTGGAAATATTTTTAATGAACAATTGCTGAAAAGAATTACAGCAGTAGGGCACCCGTGATTTTTTTATTAACATTAACTTAAAACAACGTGATGCAACAGTAGGAGAGGGAAAAGTAAACGGTGAGACTCTTATCAGAAAGATGGAATTACAAAGTAACAGTAAGCTGGGTTATAGACATACACTCTCCCCTGTGCATCACTCATGTGTGTGGAATAGCAGACCCCTCAAATAACAATGAAGGCTGTTACATAGAGGTGTAAATGCAGTGAATTATTGATTGGATTAATTCACGGTATTAAAAACAATATTTTCTTTCCTGCTTACTGTAATGATTCCAACTCTAAATAATAAAAGCAGCACCTGTTGTGGCTCACGTTGCACCCTGCTATTAGTATGTATGGATTTATTTATTTATTTCTACTTCTTTTGCAGGTGGAAGTGAAGCCATATGTGCTGGATGACCAGCTGTGCGATGAGTGCCAGGGAACTCGCTGCGGTGGGAAGTTTGCGCCGTTCTTCTGCGCCAACGTCACCTGCCTACAATATTACTGCGAGTACTGCTGGGCGGCCATCCATTCGCGCGCCGGCCGCGAGTTTCACAAACCCCTGGTGAAAGAGGGAGGCGACCGACCCCGTCACATCTCCTTCCGCTGGAACTGAGCGGAAATTAGAGAGGGAGAGGCAACAGAGGAGCAGGAGGGCAGGTAGTGCAGGAGTCGCAAAATCATTGTACAAATAAATGCACTTTTCTGTTGCTGGTTCCTTTTTGCTCCACTTTCACCCGACATTTTTTGCAATTTTTTTGTTAAATTAATATTTAAAGACGGAAAAGAAAGATTGGATTTATATCCAGATATGTCAAGGAAGCAAAAAAAAAAAGATGTGTAATATGATTTTATTTATGTTTGATTTTTAAAATATTTTTATTAGTTCTAAAAAAAAAAAAACGTATATAGAAAAGTTTGAGGTGTGATATGGTACTCTGCTATTTTAATTGGGATATTTTTCTAAACAGTGTATTTTATTTTAATTTTGATACAAGAGGCCCCGAAACAAATACTTGTCATTTGACATTCAGCTGACTTGTTTTGTAGCAGAGCTCTTACATTTTATTTTGTATCGAGTCTCCAGAGCAAATGCTGTTTGAACAGAATATGATTGGCTATTTATTTCTGATAGGTAGGATTAAAGTGCCCCTATTTTGCATATTTGCATATGTTTAAAGTCTCAGTGTTTCATGTGAGGGAGGCGGGTGTTCACTCAAATTGATTTTGTGAAGTCCAAAACAAGATTTGGGTCATACTGTTCACTGCTGCAGTGCCTGTCTTTAACCCTCTGTGTGAAACTCTCCATTTTGCCTCCTGTCTCTTTAAAGCCCCCCCCACCCCCCCCCCCCCCCCCCCCCCCCCCCCCCCCCCCCCCCCCCCCCCAGTGACATAGATAAGTCACAAAACAAAAACCTTTGACAGTTTCAAACAGTACAGCAGTATTTTATATATAGTTGATATATAAAAAAATCAACATACACACACACACACACCAGACTAAAGGATATGGAAGAACCCAAAAGGCATAATAGGGGCACTTTAAGTTTGCTATTGATAGCTGAGGCTCCAGAGCAAATGTGAATTAAAAAGGGTGTTGCTAAAGAAGAGTGCACTTATTTCCAGTTTAAGTACTGAAGATACACAGTACGTAAGACCCTTAATAGTTACCAAAGCTGAATCTTAATTCACTCTGACGAGCAGAAAGAGCCCACTGCAGAACGAAATGGATTCGTTTTCCCTTCCCAGATCAAAAACGTTCGAACCTCTCGTTATGATTTCCAGGACCATACAAACATTTTGATGTTACTTGAAAATCTAAACAAAATTTTAGCAACACTGATTAGGGTTTCGATCTCCATTTTGACATGCAAAAACTAATACCTCAAACTCCGCTGCTAATGTGCCGAATACAGAGAGAGAGAGAGGGAGAGAGAAAAAAGAAACCAAGAAAGAAAACATCATCGCTCTCTGGTGTTCTCCTTTCCTCAGAACTATAATCAGAGAGAAGTGATACAACAGGCAGAGAGTGATGTAACTGGCACAGTTTTCTACTCAACTTGCTTCATCACCTCCTTATTTTTGTAATCAAACCCAGGGTTGTGCTAGTGACAGAGCATCGTAAAGTATACAGTGTATTATTGGAATGTATGGTAAAGGGAGGCTACAGGAGAGACAGGCTTAGTGGTGAAGAGAGAAATTCAGCCCCAGATCCCCTCCTCGTGTCTGCCTGCGGCCTCTGCTGCTAAGCTTACAGCTAACAAACAGAAGGCCTCATTCGTGGATCACAACCTGCTCGAGGCTTGAATCCACGTCCTTCAGGACCGAGGTTAAGGCAACGTGTCACTGAAGGACGGTATTGCAGTTTTTAATGGGGCTACCACCAAACAGGAAATACCTGTCTGTGTTAGTTTTGTTTTAATGCATTTGTGCAATTCTCCCAAGTCTTTAATGGAAAAAAAAAGTTTTACTTTGCATCCAAGGGTTAGTTACATTTAATGAAAGAAGCAATTAAAAGTTTATCTGACTTTGGAATCGTCATCACATGTGGGGATCTGCCCTTGAAGCCAGGTCCCTGCCAAGCTAATCCAACTCAGCATCCAGTGTTTTTGAAGCATAAATGAAGATAGTCTCTGAAGTGTGCTCTACTACTGCACACTTGTGACCCACATGCAGTTTGCTCTCCATAACGAGATTGCAGGTCCAGTCGACTGTAGCCAGCGGCTTTTGGGAACCAAAGATGGCTGTGCAGTAGTGGGTCATACTGTAGCTTGTTACTTGTGTGGAAGTTTTGGTTTTTCTTTTTCATTTTCTTCAAGGACGTTTTGCATATATATATTTTTTGTTTTCCTAAATCTGTGATTTCTACCCAGTTTTGCTTAACTGTCAAGCCCTGATAGACTCCAGCGAACCAAAGATTCGCCTTGAACATCGTCTTTACAGAATGCATTATGCATATGAACGATAGTGCCGTGAAAACCATCAGAACATCAGTATGGGGGGGACAAAACAGGGCTTGCGAGACATACAAACAAGGCCTCACACTCCCTCCGTAGCTCAAAATGGAGGCGTGTGCTGTCAGTTAGGCGCTAGTTATTTTTATCTGAAATGGATCTGTGCGTTTGGGAAAAGTAACACAAAAAGTACACCTTCCCACGGCGAAAGTAAAACTAATCCTTACCTTTGTTTGAGTCACTCAGTGGTAACCTTATTAGCCGAGCATTTAAATGTCAGGGAGTTAGTACAGAAACTTGATTATTACACACACACTAGTGAGAATCCTCATATCGGCGCGGTGTTGTCGGCACCAGTTTTGCACCCTGGACATTAGTTTTGTGGGTGTGGTGGGTGAGCATTTTAGAAGTTAAAACACTTTGTGAAGAATTTGCTGTTAAATGAGATGAAAAAAAAAAAAGATTATTTTATACATGGCCTGCTGATTTTTGGTACAGTGTTTTCTAGCTAAATTATTTTGTCATGCACATATAAACATTTATTATGCACTACTTTTCTAAATATTTTTTGTTTCTTTTTCCAACAGTCATTTTAGGCACATTTTTCACAAATGGGGAAACTCCTTTTTGCAATACCTCAATTTTTCACATTGTGAAAGGTAGCTTTTGTACTTTTGTTACTGAAAGATCTGCATATATGGAAATGTTCATTTTAGGAAAAACAAAAAAAGTTGAGTGATTTCAATATATATTATTTTCAATTATGCTTTTTATACATTTCAGTGCTGAGGAATCTTTACAACTAAGTGCGCACTTGTGTTGATGCGACTTCAGATGTGCAGAGGAGAGACCAAAGAGTATCGCTCTCTTGGTCTTAGCTTTTCTTACACTAGATGTTTTCCAGTCGATCTGGTCAATAAGAGCATGGCGAGAAAAAGAAAGAAAGAAAGAAATATAATTTGGGATTGATGTTAATGTGTCTAAAAATGGCTATACTAGTTGGAAATGGTAACTTCTGTCTTGGTTTCCTCTCCATAGATGGAGCATAACTTATTATATAAGGAGAATGCAAAATTTGGTTCACGCTTAACGCTGAATCTCGTATCACAAGAATGGATGTTTGGTGTTTAGATATTTTAATATTTGAAAAAAAAAAAGTATATATATATATTCTTGAACTTGCCAACTAGCACCTATTGTAATCCTTAGCATGCATGACGAAAAAAAAAAAGAAAATGACAAGTACAATGAATTAGCTATTACAATTAATTGTTGTGGTGTGCACCAAATGTTTCTCAACTATTCAGTTAAGGACACCCCGAACCCGCTCTCACCTCACCCCTCTTCCCCTCTTCCCATGTTCCCGCCCCACGTGTCGATTTCCTCGCTTCCCCATTCGCAGACCTCTGCAGGATGCACGTGACAGAGAGATAAAAGAAACCTACGTTTGAATTGATTTGGCAGTGCAGGACTTTGAGCATCCTTTATATAGAGAACACTGTTTAAAAAGACTTGAGAACCTGTCCCCGCTGTCTGTCGAGGTGATCTTACATAGACCTATCTGGAGGAAAGGGGAGCTTAAAGACTTGAATGTGGTAAATGTTGCAAGTTAACTTCAAGTTGTTATGTGCAATACTTCTTTTGAACCTTTTTCCAGATAAAGACTCTTTGCAATGTAATTCTTTAATGCCATTTTTAATTGCAGACATTTAATTAAAGAAGATGTTAATATGTTTTTCACAGTCATTTTCTACTGTTATTGTAATCCTTTTCATGCTGGTGTTTGTAAAAAAGAAAAGAAATCAAACTATTTGTACTAATATAAATAATTGAAGTTATTTTTAAAACATTAAAGGTTTTGTGCTCATTTGCTTATTTTGTTTATTTTAAGCTACTGTGATTGATTGCATTGTAATTATTAGGTCAACAATGTATTTAGCTGTTTATTGGTATATTTTTAATTGGAATGTATAATTGATTTTTATAATTTTGATCAGATTTTTGTTATATTTTTGAGGTGAAGCTTTTAATATGTTAAAGTGTCTAGTTTTTACTAATTGCTATATTGTGCTCCACAATATATGGTTCACATTTTCTGAAGGAAAATAAATATTTAAATATTTGTCTGTTAATGATGTTACTTAATGGCAAGATTTCAATAGTTTTTAACTGTGTATGGGAAGGTTGTTGTATTTATTAATAGCATTTTTTTACTTAAGATATCACCTTAATTTTTATTGTCATTTCACTTTATAAGTTCCTATTTTTGTATTTTCCTTTCTAATTAAGTTATGTAATACGGATATGTCCATATTTCTAGGAGTTGGTCTGTAGAAGTGCTAGTGAAACGAAAAAGAAAAATCTAATGTTATTTAATTGTTTGCAGCCAACTATTTATAACAGTATGCATAATTTTTAAATATTTGTAATGTGAAATGTTGAATGAAATAAATCTTAACTGTGATGAAAGCCTGTGTGTGATGTGATTATTTATGACTGTTGTGTTGTCACAGCTTTAAACCTTCAGCTCCTTAATCAGTGTTCAAATCTGGCTGAAAGTTGAATAATTAAAGAGGAGTGTCGATGCCTTGTCTGGCTAAAGGCGTCCGCTGTCCGCCTGATCTTCTACAATTCACAAGAATTCCCACTCCTAGAGAAAACTGCACACGACAGTCATCTGATGGCTCATGGTCGTATTTGTTGTTTTATGGGATTTTTCTCGATGACGAGAAAACTTTGACTTTCCTTCAGTTTTTCACGCATTCAACAACTGAGAAGAAGAATGAGCTGAATGAGAGAATATTGTTTTCCTTCTTGTTTGATATAAAAAAATAATAAAATAACGATAACCGGAGAAATTCAACATGCAGGATTTTAAATTGTTAAGGGAACAAAGTTGTCTAAACCTACCTGGCTCTGTGTGATAAAGTAATAGATGGTTGTGCCTTGGCAACATGAACTGCAATCATGGCTTTCAGTAACTGGTAATTAGTCTTTCACATCACTGTGGAGGAATTTTGGTCCACTCTTTTTTTGCAGTTTTTTTTATTTTTATTTTTTATATTCGGCCACATCGGAGGGTTTTCCGGCATAAATGGTTTTCACACCAGATGTAACTGGTGTAAAAGTTATACTTTTGTCCCATCAGTCCACGGAATTCTTTCTCCAGAGTCTTGAGGATCATGAAGACGTTGTTTTTGTTTTTTTAAAAAAAATTAATAAAAAAAAAACAACCCTTGGGCCCCTTTTGGTCAGCAGTGATTTATTTCAAACTCTCCCATGGAGGCCATTTTTGCCCAGTCTCTTTCTTATTGTTGAATCATGAACTCCTTAACTGAGGAAAGTGAGGGCTGCAGTGCTTTAGATGTTGAGCTGGCTCCTTAGTGATCTCCTGGATGAGCCACTAGTGCTCTCCTGGAGTAATTTTGGTAGGTCGGCCACTCCTGGGAAGAGATGGGCAGTAACGCCTTACTGTAATCCAATTACTTTTTTCAAGTAACGAGTAAAGTAAGGGATTACTATTGCAAAAACGGTAATTAGATTACCGTTACTTTCCCGTAGGAACGCTGCGTTACTGCGTTACTAAAACCGTGATTTTTTTGCGAGAATGTCTCATGACAGTGACGTAAGCGAGTGCGACGTTCGTGACAACAGCTGTGTGCAGATCAACAATGGATCATATATCGAGTGCAGGAGAGAGTATGAGCGTGCAGCGTTTAAAGCGTGGAAGTACTGACCTTACTTTGAGTTTGATTCCATAAAAAGTGACAAAAACATTAGTGTCCGCTGTGCGTGGGAAGAAAACTTCTTTTTACAGCGAAAAAACCCTAAACTTCCAGCAAGCACCGAGTGCGCAACGACGTAATGGGAAACTCACAGAGAAACTCGCGGATTCTTCCACTGACCGCTGCGGCACACCTGCACCAGGGTAAACCTCCGCCTACCCTACTCCTGCTTTACAGGTGAAAATAGAGCAACAGGACCGCTGAGTCTTTGACTTTATTTATTTTCTGCTGTGTTTTACTTGCATCTATTTGAAAGAGTGAGTGTAAACACAAAAAATATTTTATTTTATGTGCTGGAATGTGCAGAAAATAGGTTTAAATGTTAAACTAATTTACTTCCAGTCAGAGAATGTTGCATATAATTAAATTTTTGCTTGATGCATAAAGTTAAAAGATTAAAACTGAATAAAACAAGTTATTAAAAAGAGACTTTTCCATTTGATTACATTTTGTATGATGGATTATGCAGAAAAAGTAGAATTGGGCTGAAAGATCTATCGCTTTATCACCTATTCAGGTTGTAAATCGTGTTTTTAAAAAGTAACTAAGTAACTAAGTAATTACCTTTTAGTTCATGTTTGAGTATAAAAGGAGCCTGTCTACACTTTTTCTTTGTGAGTTCATTACTACCTATCTAATAACCCAGACACGACCTGTTCTTTTGTTTTCTGAACATGTGTGACAGCTCAGTAACACCACCAGCTGGCTGCATCTTATTTGTAACAGAAGCCCTCTTTCCATGTAAAGTGTGATTTTTAGTCAAAGAAATGTAAATTTTGTAGAGATGTTTGATACAGTTAGGCCATAAATATTTGCACAGAGACAACTTTTTCTATTTTTGGTTCTGTACATTACCACAATAAATTTTAAATGAAACGACTCAGATGCAGTTGAAATGCAGACTTTCAGCTTTAATTCAGTGAGTTGAACAAAAAGATTGCATAAAAATGTGAGGAACGAAGACATTTTTAACACAATCCCTTCATTTCAGGGGCTCGGCGTAATTGGACAAATTAAATAACTAAAAATAAAATGTTAATCTCTAATACTTTGTTGAAAGCCCTTTGCTGGCAATGACAGCCTGAAGTCTTGAACATGGACATCACCAGATGCTGGGTTTCCTCCTTTTTAATGCTCTGCTAGGCCTTTACTGCAGCGGCTTTCAGTTGCTGTTTGTTTGTGGGCGTTGCTGTCCAAAGTTTAGTCTTCAATAAATGAAATGCATACCCAACTGGGTTATGGTTAGGTGACTGACTTGGCCAGTCAAGAATATTCAATTTCGTTGCATTAATAAACTCCTGGGTTGCTTTGCTGTATGTGTTGGGTCATTGTCCATCTGTATTATGAAACGCTGCCCAATCAATTTGACTGCATTAGCTGGATCTGAAAAGAGTGTATGTCTCCGTCTCATTTGGCTTTTGTCCTGTGTCACATCATCAACAAACAGTAGTGTCCCAGTGGCAGCCATGCACACCCAAGCCATCGCACTGCCCCTGCCCTGCTTCACAGATGATGTGGTATTATTTGGATCATGAGCTGTTCCACAGCTTCTCCATACTCTTCTCCTTTTTCTTGCCATCATTCTGGTAGAGGTTGATTTTGGTTTCATCTGTCGAAATAATTTTTTTCCAGAACTGTGCTGGGGTTTGGCTTTTTTTTAGACGTTTTGATTGATTGATTTATTTTTTGAGCAAAGTCCAATCTAGCCTTTTTATTCTTGAGGCTTATGAGTGGTTTGCACTTTGCAGTGAACTCTCTGTATTTACTTTCATGCAGTCTTCTTGGATATTGATACGCATACCTCCTGGAGAGTGTTGTTCACTTTGTTGATGTTGTGAGGTGGTTTCCCTTCACTGTGGAAATGATACTGCGATCATCCACAATTGTTGTCTTCCATGGACGTCCATCTTTTTTTGCGTTGCTGAGTTCACCAGTGCTTTCTTTCCTTGGATGTACCAAACAGTAGATTTTGCCACTCCTGTTATTGTAGCAGATGGGTTTCTTTTTCTGTTTTCATAGCTTAAGGATAGCTTTGTTCACCTTCATGGAAAACTCCTTTAACCACATGTTGTCTTTTCACAGCAAAATCTTCTAAATGCAAGCACCACACCTCAAATCAACCCCAGGCCTTTTGTCTGCATTACTGATAATGACTTTGAGTTAATTGTCCAATTACTTTTGGTCCCCTTTCTCCAATTTGAATGTGGATACCCTCAAATGAAAGCTGAGAGACTACACATTCTGTCCATTATATAACTATAAATGGAAAGTGTTTGGATAAGCAGGTAAAAAAACAAAACTTGTGTATATATATATATATATATATGGACCTAGCTGTAGTTGTTAGTGTGATACAGCCTACCTTTTCAGGTGAGGGGAGGGAAGAACATGTTGTTATCAGGAAGACAAGGTTAGAATAACATAAAACATATCTCGTCCACACCCAGTAATATGAATATAACAAGATGACTGCAGTATTAAACTATGCTGGTGCTCGGCTTATAGGCTGAAAATCAATACGTCATCATCTGATTCCCATGGACAAACAAACGGAGCTTGTTAGATTGTGTCAGGAAATTGTATGAAGAAATAATTTGTATTACGTCATACCACAGGGCAGCTGGAGGATGATATTTCTCCACTGCAAACAGAGCTCCATCTTTGAGGTTCTCACAAAAGGAGATGATGCAATGGCTGAAAAAAAAATGTCTGCAAAATCACTTTAGGTGTATTGTGTCTCGCTTACAGTCAATTATCCCATTTTAGTCGGTTCCCTGAGAACCATAAAGGAGCTAATTCCTAAACCTGAGAGGACGCAGTAGGAACATTACAGTAAGTATACAGAAACAGGCATCAGATTATATCTCTGTTCAGCTGCTGAATAATCAGGTAATCACCCGTCACAAAAGGATGAAGGGTGGTCATGCTCAGCTAAACTTCTAAATACTTTCAATACGTTTGACGGCAGGGAAATAAATGGAAGCTCATCTTTAATCATCTGATGTGCTATAAAAAATATTATATTTGATCCATGGAGGAGTTAGGTGTTTATGTCAGCTGACTTGATAACCTCAGGAAGATCTGCAAGCACAGCAATGAAGCAGAAAAGTGCATAAAAGATTAAGTTTCCCCTGTTGTGCCTCTATGGAAATGCGCTACCTGGCCAGGAGGGTAGAGAAGGTGGTTAAACCACGCAGAAGGTGAAAAAGCATGAAAAAGTCACCACCTCTGTGAAATATGGCTGCCTACATACCGACTCTTGGGCTCCAAATGTCCCATTAATGCTGCATACAGGTTACACGTCCCCACAAACTTGTGAAATATGATTATGATTATTATTAATAATATTAATGATTAAATAATAATGAATACCATTATTATTAGTTGTATTATTTGCAGCATTTGTACCTTTCAAATTGTCTCCAGCAGCATTAGTAGTCATATTATTATTTTCACTCATTAGTAGAAGCAGTGATTATTTGAATAATGCTAGTTTTAGTAGTAATCGTATTAGTAAGCAATAGTAGTAATAAGTCAGATTAAGTAATAGTAATACCTTTTGCAGTATTTGTACCCTGCCAATTGTCTCTAGCAGTAATGCTAGTAGTATTGGTATTTTCATTGGTAGGATTAATAGAAGCAGTGATAATTTACAGTAATGCTAGTTTTAGTAGTAACAGGATAGAATGGCGCTTTATTGTTATTGTATATGTACAATGAAATTAGTAGTATTACTTGCAGTATTTGTAGCTTGCCAGTTGTCTCCAGCAGTATTAGTATTATTCATATGATAAGCAACTGTATTTGATGTAGTGTTAGTTTTAGTAGTTTTAGCAGTAGTAGTGTTTCTACCTTGTGCAGCCTCCACCTGATAATGGTAAATTATTACGGACACGCCCCTCTTTTGAAATATCAGCTGCACTGTTACACTGGCTGCGTGTCACTTGTTAAACCACCAGGTGGCGCTGTAGGACCAAAGAAACCAGTTTGAGTCCCACATGTTTCATGCTGCCTTTACGTGATGCGTGTAATGTTGCTTCTTTATGGAAAATGTCAGTTTTAAAACTGGGGAAATGAGAATATTAAGCAACTTCTAAGTGATCGGGATGTCATATTCAGGGTGGAGAGCAAAATCAATCCGCTCCAAGCAGTCCACTTTTATTCTTCGGGTTAGATCTGTGTATTCACAACGCTAGATCCTGACCCGCTTTAATTCATTTAACAAACAAAAGTGACCAAAATGCTCTAAAATATGTTGGTGAAAAATCGGACTTTACCTTGAAAGGCAACGACAGTCCAGTTTCCACTTTGGCAAAACAAACGAGACTCTTAAAGGAGGGGAAAAAAACCAAACATCCCCCTAGTGGCAACTCCAGCGGCTTGGCGTTAGCAGCTCGGAGAGGAAGAGGCTGTTTGGATTAAGGGGGTTGGGCTGCCTGCTGGTAGGAAACCTGCCGCCAGACATCCAGTTTGTCTCCGGCGGTGCAGCGCAGCTTTCCCGCAGCATCAGCAGCAGCGACGCCGCAGAGCATCCTCCAGCCTCACCTGCTCCTCATCTGCGCTCCCTCCGCCTCTGTCCACACAAACAGTGCCGCAGCACGGAGGAACCGGGCGGACAAGGACGAGCAGCTGTAAGTATCAGCCTATTTTTTTTACGCGTTATTCGTTCATTTTCTGATGGTTTTGTTGTGATGGAGAGAAGGTTCTGAAGACAGAATGCATATTTCCTTTCCCCCCTCTCCTTGTTTTTCGGTAGTTTTCACTCAGATACATGTTTCAGTGTAAACGAAAAAAAATTCCCCTCCCTCCGATTTCCTGTTTTTACTCTAATCATTCACTAATCAATCATTCAGGCATTATTTGAGCACCTTTTTGTGCGTAAGCTGCCTCACAGCTACACTCCGCTTAATTCAACATTTTTATTCACCGTTTCATTAAAAATCGTCCCCATCAATCAACCAGCGTTTGCCAGCTTTCATTGACCTGAGAGGCTGTAAAGGTGCAAAACTTCCTCTTTTCAGAAGCAGGCTTCGGGGAAATAAAGGAATACTAAAGGCTGAAGATGGTGAAACTGGGGAGTAATCTGCAGGACAAAGGCGCCAAACCTGTGAGCGTGGAGGACGGCTTTCAGAATGTGCCCCTCATCACTCCACTGGACGTTGGCAGCCTCCAGAGCCAAGCACCTGACAAGGTGAGAGACTGCCCACCAGCTTCTGTGCATCTTCTTCCCAAATCTGCCTTCGCTGCCATTGCCTCAGTGCTTTTGACCTGTGCCATCCTCCCACACACAGACAAACACAGCAAAGGAAAAAAAAAGGTGATATGATGGCTCTGTTAAGCTGTGGGAGGCATTTTGCTGTTATTGTTTGAAACCACTTGTCCCCCCACCCTCTTGAGGGGAGGATCACTGCAGATCAATACAAAGTTGATGTGAGTGTTCACCTTTATCTGGTGAGGAAGTATTTCACTCCTGATGGAGGTGATCTCCTGTTATCCCAGGATTGCAGGACCTCATATTTGTAGTTCACAATGGGTCACTAAATGTCTCAAAATCACGTTGATTTATATTATGTCAATTTTTACTTTTATTTGCCATCCGTGTGTGTGTATGTGTGTGTATTATGTTTTCTTTCTCCATTTATTCACACATTCATTCATCTCATCTGTCTCCCAGCCATGTCCTTTGTCTTCCAGCTGAGATTAGGAGACAGATTTGGTGCCAGACAGACTGTCATTTGTCATCTTGACATCCCATAGTAACTGCGCCGCCGCTCGTTAATCCAGTTACCATGGTGGCAGTGCAGCGCCGATTGGTGTATGTGCCGGGTTGGAAGAGAGAGCAGCACTGATTGCGCATTATAAGAATTAATGGAATTAGGCAGCAAGGCGAGCTCATTGTCACTTTTTGCACACATGAAAGCTTTATTGTGGATTGTTTGTTTCGCTGTTTGGATGTGAGGATGAACATTTTTCAGCTATATTAATCCATATTTCTCCTCTCACCAAGTGACCAATGAATTGTAGAAGTAAAAACAAATCAAATTAGATACATTTTGTGAAATAAATCCATAACTTTGGACTGTAACTCCATATTTTTGTATTTTATTGGAGTTGGTAAACCAACAGAGAGCTATCAGCTTCATGTGTAGCTGTAAGGAGCTTTATGGCATGATTAATCCCCCCTATTTAGTTGCTGTTTAGCCGTTTTTAGTGAAAAGCCTCTAACAACCAAATGTACTTTATTCACATCACTGAATGACAGACACGAAGCAACTAACTGGTGGTAGAGTGGAGCATTTAGGAGCTGGATATTTCCCTCTGGAGAACATCTGAGCTCAGAGCGAGTCAATATTGGAGCTACACAGCCAGAAATGGCCAGAAATACGACGACAAATGAGTGAAAATGTTGCTGCATAACAGCTGACGATGTTAATAAGTGTCTGGCTTCCATAGCTGGAATATTCCCGTTAAGGGAGATGTCATTTCTCCGGACGTTTATACTGTATGTGGCAAATTTAAGAGGCTTATGCTGTGCGTTTAAATTTGAAGTTTAGCCGTACTTGTGTTCTTCATATCATGGTCACCCTGTTTTTTGAAAAATGCGTTAACAAAGGGTTTAAATTTTTGAGCGTACACACACAAAACTCCACCGGATGAAACGAGCTCCCGTTTGGCCTGCTGCGAGGCGAAACAGATAGCACAGCCTGAACCCCACAGCGCGGATTCTGCTGAGGGAAGCACAGTCGCTTTCCATTTCATTTACCTGTTAACTCAGGAGACCTGCCATTCACTGTGCTAACACACACACATGCGCACACACTTGCAATTTCATTCACGGTTGTGCTTGCGGGAATTCTAGCAGCGCATACTTACAACAAAGGCGGCGCGTGCGTGCACATGTGCGTGAGTGACAGGTCGTCTCTGTCACCAGTTTGTGAAACGACGTTCTTAGTAGAGCTGTCAGTCATTTTACTCTGATTAAATCAGTCCCAGCAGATTCACCAACACTGCTACGTACTGTAGATGAAGCTGCCTTTGCACACACACACACTCACTCATTGCTGTATTACTGTACTGTGTGACTACACAAATATGTCTTATATTGATTACCTGAAAAGGGAGACTGACAGAGAGAATAACCTGAGTTGAGTATAAGTCCCCATCCAGTGACTTATTGCTGTTGACATTTAAGAGGAAAAGAGGTCAAACAGGATGGCTTGCAGTTTTTTGTTTTTTTTAATGTAATTTTTTTGTTTGTTTGGCTTTGTTTTTGAGTTTTTACATGCCTCAGGAGATGCATCCACAAAGATTGCATTTGCTTGCTGCTTTTGGATAAATCTGCTGACAGCTGATGCAGATTTTGCCGGCTTGCTCCCAGGACTGGGAAATTGTTAGTTCAGCCCCTCCATGTGCTCATTTATTTTGTGCTCATTTGTGCATTCGGACACTAAGCAAACAAAACCGTGGCAAGTTTTTTTTGTGTGTGTGTGTGTGTTGCTTTTAATATATCACTATGCAAACGAAAGTGGATCCGTTTGTTAGCAGTCAGGACAGTGTGGGAGTCGGAAAGGTCAATTTGCTGCTTAATCTTAGCATTTGTTTGGAGCTGTAAGTGTGAGAATTTTCCTCCTGGTAAGTGATGCATGAATGCAAGAGAGGCCAAGAAATAATGAAATATTTAATTAGACATCCGATTTTATGAAATCTCTAGAAAATTCATCTGTTTATATTTTAAGCTCTTATGCAACAACTTTATAATTCATTTGGAGTCCCTTTTCTTTGGAGTTCCTGATTTGCATAAAGCCACCAATCTTGCACATGAGACCCAAAGCAGTCAAACTGTGGGTCAGACTGATAACATTAAGCTGAATCTATGCTATTCAGCTCTGGAAAGCACAGAGGACCAGACAGCTTGTTTCTCGTTGTTATCACCAGTGTCGGGTGTAATAGATTACAAAGTAATCACATTGCTAATTTTTTCAGTACCACACGTTGATTAAATAACATTACGTTATTTCACTATTTGCACACAAATACATAAAATGTGCCCTTTTCTTCCTGCACACCTGCACTATAATAGACTGTTTTCAGTTTAGCAGGGAGGAAGAAAATGGTGGAGCAGTGTTTGACTTTTGAGGAGTATAGGTCTGAGAATTACCTTCATTTTCATTGTACAAAAATACCAGGGCACGGTGGTAAAATGTAAGCTGCACCCACAACAGAAACAGCGGCACTGTACTGCTAACACAGCGTTGGCTCTTTGTAAGCATTTGCACGGCATGCTAACACAAAGCTAGCAAAGAACCCAAAGTGACATTAAAGCTGAGGGTATGCGGAGTCTAGCCCAGCAGCCAGAGCCTGATCATAAACAACAACAGTGATGAGCAGTCTGACTTGTAGCCATGTAGCATCCATTTCTACCTTTTTTTTGGACAGAGTCACTGTAGCAATCACTTAAAAGTCCCTTTAGGCTGATTTTCAATGTTGTGTCAATGACTTTGGTTTAAAAGTTAAACAATCAAAGACAGACCATGTGTATGTCCTCATTAGGATAGGGATTTGTACCAGCATGTCATGCTGTAATCGACAGTTTATATTGTTAACACACCAAGTGTGCTGCAAAAAAGCAACATGAAATTAAACATAAAACAAGAAAAGGAAGAAACCAAGATTCTGGGTTCATTTAATTCTCACGAGAAGGCAGCAGCATTGAGAATTTCATGGTTTTCTCCAAGAGTTGAAGCCGAAACATGGTTGCTTTCATGCATATTTCAGGATGTCAGTGGGGCAGTTTGAACTCTTGTTGGCAGAGCTGAGACCACATTTTAGGAGGCAGAAAATTTTTTCAGAGAGCTGATTGACCCGGAGCAACGTCCAGCTATGAGTCTGTGGCAAAACTGTGTTATTTTACTATTTCCATGTCTCCAAGTCTGAGGCCATGGTCTTCAGCCGGAAAAGGCTGGAGTGCCGACTCTATGTCAGGTACGAGTTACTGCTCCAAGTGGACCCTAACGTAACTCAGAGTCTTGTTCACAAGAAAGGGGAGCAGGAGATCTCGATTTAACGGTCGTTCTACGTTCTTACCTTCACCTATGGTCACGAGCTTTGGGTAGTGACTGAAAGAACGAGGTCGTAGATACAAGTGGTAGAAATGAGCTTTCTCCAAAGGGTGGCTGGCCTCGCCCTTAGAGACAGGGTGTGGAGTTCGGCCATCCAACACTCAGATTAGAGCCGCTACTGCGCCACATCAAAAGGAGCCAGTTGAGGTGGTTTGAGCATCTGACAAGGTGTTCCGGGCATGTCCCAGTCGGAGGAGGTACTGAGGCAGACCCAGGACACGCTGGAGAGATTATATCTCTTGGCTGGCCTGGGAGTGCCTTGGTCTTGGTGTTGCTGGAGGATGTGCTTAGGCTGCTGCCCATGCGAATAAGCAAAAGAAAATAGATGGATGGATGGATGAATATTCAATACTGGTGTCATGAGGTATGAATACACATGTTCCCAAATGCAGTGGTCTGATTGGTCAGATCTGTTTATTTTGATCTGAAAAATCTGAAAAATTGAGCTACAAATGCTGTAAATTTGTGCTGCAGATTTATGCAGTTGATGTGAATGACTTCATTAATAATAAAATATTCACAAAGATTTAAAGGCCTTAATCCACAGTAATGCAACAAGTAGTGTAAAGAATTACATTATTCAGGAAGTCATTAAGTAATGTAAAGTTTAAAAAATGACAGGAAGTGTAATACATTACCTTTTTTGAGTAAAGAACCTATACTGGTAATCATTTTGTTATTTGACGTTGATTGTATCTGTAGGAAAACATTCCTTTGTCTAAATCAGAAACTGTAGACTCGTTGCGGCGACAGGCTTCATAATCTCACTGAATACTGGGTTGCTGTTTTTGCCACTTGCCCTATCCAGAAAGAGTTCACTGGTAATCAGCTTTTATCATTCTCTCAAAATCTGATCTGAGACCAGTTTTGTTCTCTTTGTCCTTTAAAGCCAAAGCGAGGTTTTAGTAGGTCATGTGACCCGACTAGTACCCCACATCAGCGGTGCGGTTGTGAGCGGCTTTACAAATACGAGTCCAGCTGTTTTCTCCCTGATCCCTGTCTGATGAGTATGTGACCTTGCCGGCTACAGGGTTACTCGGGGATATTTGCAGATTTTTGCAGGGGTGGGGTA